CTCTCTCTCTCTCTCTCTCTCTCTCTCTCTCTCTCTCTCTACTCTCTCTGTCTCGTTGCTCGAGCACAGTGCAATAATAGCGTAAATTGCAATGTGATGAATGCAGTCTGACAGAAAGTAGCGAAGCTCGTCGTCGACCTCTTCTCTCTGTTCCACTTGTCACGTAATCTATGGCAAACGTGAACGACTGCGTGTAATGCATGCATGGATGCGTGAAAAGTGCGTGCGAGTGTTACAGAAGTGCATTTCATCCTTCTCGTCAGAATTAGCATCCTCTTTGCATTTTCACAAATTAATTAATCAATCCCGTCGTGCGCTAGCACTTACGCGCGACAATTGCAACTTTCTAATTTTGACATAATTTTCTTCTTACACGTAATGGAGGATGTGAAGGATAAACTTGACTTTGATAAATTATATGAAATCTAGCCTCGCATCTAAAACGTGATATGTCGTATGTTGTTGGAGAAAAACGAACGTCGATTTGCGCAGATTAAATAATAACACGTATCACCTTCCCCACGATGATTCGTAATAATTCGAACTTTTATTTCGCAACCGGTTGGACCCATAAAAGATAAATTTCTTAATAAATTTATATTGCGACGGTGAGGCAAAACCCCGCAGTTAATTTGTATCAGGACGAGCGTTTGGAAACGCGGATCGATCATGTGAAATCGCAAATAATTATTTACGACAATCACCAGGGCAAACTCGCGCGCCTCATCGGGAGATACGAGGAAACGAGGAGATATTGAATTATTTAGCGGGATTAATGCACTTGTAGTCGTCGTTACCCCGCTCGAGTTACCGTAACGTGGATATTACGTAGACACAAAGCACAGGAGATAGGTTTTCAGGTAAATTCGCGAGCCGCATTCAAGGTGGTAGCGTTCGACGCTGCTGAGAGGCGCGCGCGCGCGCAACGTGTTCCATAGTGCCTCGTCTGCAATCTGCTTAGACGTGTGCACGGCATAATGTAGAAGCTGGCTTGCATGCCTCGACGTAAGTAAAGCGACTGGAGCGAAAGAAAGTAATGAGAATAATTGTCGCCGCGTTCCGTCGTCGAGCGCACGAGATACGCGGATTGTGAACTAGGTACTCGCGACTATATTTTGCGGTTGGATACATATATTTAATCGAAATGTATACACGAATATACACACACACACACACACACACACACACACGCGATGTACGATTAAACGTTTTGGAAGAGATAAGATGGTGAAAGAGTAGAGAATTGAGTAGAGAATTGTTAGCAGACATGGTTGCAACGTCC